AGGAAATTTAAAGCATGCACAAATAATGCGCCTGAAATACTGTGGCCAACTCAGCGGCACAACATAGCCTGATCAGAGGCGGCGTGCGGTCTGGGAATCAGGACAGATAATCGAAACGAATTGTCACAAAAATCCACGGCGGAAAAGTACTTTGCAGGCGAACAGGAGCTCCAACGAAAGCAGCTACCTAGAAAAGCAGGTGCGGCGGCGACACGTTTTCACTCCGAGTCTTGACCCTTAAACGGAAAACGGAGGCGGCCGGCCGAAGACTCACCGAACCGCCCCGGCCAACACAATAGTGACCGGCGGGTCTGGAGCAATCGGCCAAGCGACTGTTATCCAGGCGGACACCGACGGTTTGTCACTGGCTCAGACAGGACCAGGCGACCCTGGGCAACTCAGGTCGTATTCGTAGCGAACCAAGAATGTTCCATTCTACGTGACGTCACGTGTAATTTTTGCGGGACGTGGTGGCAGCGGAGCGCGTTTTCTATTCACATCGTCTAAACTTTTGTGACAACTGCGCATGCGAGACAGTAGCATTAAGGTTTGCACGTACTGTGCTCCAACAATAAAAACTGCAAAATATGACATTTGTTACGCATGACATGTCTCTTGCCACTCACCGTTAGCACTGGGTACTCCAATTTTCTTGTTTTTAAATAAATCTGCTGCGCCACTTCTGTCTAACTTCGATCAAGTAACGGAACAAGATTCCGCGCGTCCGACAAAGATTCTACGAAACATTACGTAGGGATTTCATCGTCCAGGTCCCTGCGACTATCAAAAGGTGCAGCATCTATAGGAAATGACGTCATCAGTGACATCGACGCCATGCATCCTTCTCCGTCAAGGGTGTAGTTGCGCCGCAACTACACCCTTGATCTGCGGGTGACGTCGAGATCGCCGCAGGTGCGTCACAAGTCGACCGATGCAAATATCCAGCCGGCCGCGGAGGCAGTCCCCCCCCCCCCCCCCCACCCCGGCCCGCGGCCGACTCTCTAGAGCTGTTCCACGCCGCCGCGCCGGTCCCGGGTCCCAGAGACGCGCCAGGTCGCTCTTCCTCGGCGGCATCGCCAGCAGCCGCCCGCCGCCTGCCACCCCGCTCCCGCCCCCGCCGTCGCCTGCGTGCACCGTCCGCTGCCACATAATTGCTGGTGACCCAGTCATTACGGTCGGCGAATGGCCGGTTGGAAGCGGGCCGGGCGGCCGGGGTCGAACGGCCGGGTCGTCTCGTGATGTCGCCCGCCGCTCGGTGCGGCCGGCGCACAAAAATGGGCCGCAATCATCAACAACGGCGGTGCGCGCGTCCGTTACGCTCTGTAGCGAAACCACGCGTCGATAATGTCCGACCATTATCTTGTTGTGCGCCGGGCGGTCAAACGAGAGGTCAGGCCTTGCGGGCCCGGCAAGGCTCAGCAGGCTATCGCGTGATGCGCGGTCCGCGGCCCGGCCCGTGTGCCCCGAGAGCGGCACCGCGCCGGACAGGACCTGACCTGCCCGTCCCCTGTCGGCCGTGACCGTGCGCACCTCGGGAGGTCGGCTGAGTCTCGGACGCCAGTCGCGCTCGGGGCCGACGACCGGGCTCAATGCGGCGGCCGCCGCGAGCACGACAGCCGACAGGGTCGCCGCGCGCCCGGACAAGGCGGCGCTGCCGTCGATGACGGCTGAATGCGCGGGCGGGAGCGCCGTCCCGTTTTGTCCTGACGGCCGAGACGGGCGCCGCCCGGCCGGCCGCGGCGCGCGACGCGTCCCGTCCCCGGCGGGGTGGAGACGGCGCGTCGCTGCCGAGGCTGCAGCCGCGCCGAGACGCGACCTGCCAGATCGGCGGCGGCGCTAATGATGATTGATTGACGCCCGTGCCAATTGGCGGCGCTGCGTTCGCGAGCAGAGCAGCGCCGGGCGTGCAGTCTGCAAGCGGCTTGCAGAGGCCGACGCTCGCCAGGTACGCCCGACAGGAGAGACGGGCCCTGGCGCGCGCCAGCGCCGAGGACGGCTCACCGGCTTCCCCGCGGCTCGGCGGGCGGCACCTGGCCGGCCCGACTCCACGGCCGGGAGTTCTGACCCGGCGCAGGGGCCGAGCGCTCGCCGACGCAAGTGGCGCAGACCCGTGCCGGCGCCGGTCGGCCAGCTGCCCGGGCGGTGACTTTGCGCACCGGCGACCCGGTTCCGATCGGGTCGTCCCACCATCTGATGGATGCATCGGCTGCGGCGTGGGCCGATCCGCGCCGCGTCGCACCGCGTCGCACCAGGCCTTTTGCGCGGCCGCCGCGTGGGCGAGTGTGCATACGACCGCAGCCGGCGGCGTCCACGACGGCGGCGCCCCAGCCCCCAGCCGATCGCCGCTCGGACCGCGGTGAAAGGCGAGCCCGCACCGCCGTCCCCGCGATCGGCGGCCTGACAGCCAGTACAAATAGGCGTGCCGAGCGCACGACGCCGCCGGTATTTCAATTAGACGGGACCGTCCAGACCATCACGAACCGGCCGAGGCGTTCGACGCGGGGGACGGTCGGGGGCCTTCCGCCGGCGCAGGGTTCCTCAGGAGCCGCCCGGAGCCGAAGTCCCGCGATCGAGGGATGATGCGAAGGCGACGCTAGAGCACACGTGAGGCGCGGAGGTGACGCCTGACCACACGGGAGGTGCGGAGGGGATGTCCGAGCACTCGCTTTCTTCGCAGACGACCAGTAACGGGCAGCCCGGCCGGCGGCGGCGGCGGCGGCGGCGGCGGCGGCCCGGCGGGCGACACAGCCGATCGGGTGATCGTTATCGAGCGATATCAATTACAGCTTACGGCCCCGCCTAATTTGATACGCCGGCGAGCGCACGCAATACCACGCAATAGCCGGGGCGGGGTGCACCAGCGGCCAGCTCTGTCTGCCCACCATGGGCGGGCCGGCTGTCGGCCGTGTCCGAGTCGGCCCCATGCGGACCGGGCTCGGCACCGGGCGCCGCGCCGGCTGGAGGCGAGACTCGGCGGCCGTCAGACCGACCTCACGCCCGCCGCCCCCAGCCGCGCCGTGCTCGCGGTGCGCCGATTTCGGGCTGCCATCCGTCAGGGTCGCGCGGGACCCTCACCGGGTGACCTCCGGCGGCCGGCGCCGCCCGGCGCGGGGGTGGCGCGCCATTAGCGCCGCCGCCGTCCCATTCGTCATCGGCGCGGCTACGTGTCGCTGCTGCAGATCGCCGCTTCGGGCAGGGTGGCCGGCGGTGGCGGCCGAGCCGACCGCTCACAACCGTGCGGGCGCCGTCGGACGCCGCAGTCCGGGTCGGCCGCGCAGGGCCGCGGACGAGGACCCGGCGGGGCGCGCCTGGCCAACCGCTCACGACCTTGCGGGCGCCGTCGGACGCCGCAGTCCGGGTCGGCCGCGCAGGGCCGCGGACGAGGACCGGGCGGGGCGCGCCGGGCGCCGCCGCCCGATATTCGCCGTCGGCTCTGGAATGCGCGCGGCAGTCCTCGTCTGCCTTGGAAGTGGCCCGGTCTGCTCGGCCCGGGCGGTCGGCGGAAGTCGACCGTGATGCTCTGGGCAAAAAGTGGCCGCGGCGTTCACCGCAGCGGCCGATCTGTCAAACAGAGCTGCGCGGCCCGTCAGAGTCACCGCAGCCCGCTGCCATCGATAACACGCCGCTGATGCGGCCATCAATACCGACTGAGATGTCTGGGAGGCCGGCTTAGCAAGTCGAGTCACTGTCCATCGGAAACTGGAGGCGAGCCCCCCGCCGAACGGATCCAAATGTTTGGAGGCATGTGTTCTGATGCCAACCCATACCGTGAAAGGTTTAGTAACGGAACCTCGTTGTCATCCCCGGAATGTGTTCCGATGCAATATTTCAATACAAAGGGTTTTGAATAATTGTACAGGTATCTTATTACAGTGTTTGTGTTTTGTGTGTTCAGATGTTCCAGTGTATTGATACCGTAAAATGAATAAACGGCTGGCATCGTTGATGTTCGATCCATGTGGTTATCATGCTTAACATTTTCGTTGCTGGTTGGCGTTCAAAGGGTTGGGACTGCTAAAAAGGTTTCCAGGCTTCGTTTTTTCTCGAGCGGGTCGAATATCGTTTAGATCCCAGTCTTAATGTCACGAAATCCTGGCAAGACGAAATATTAACCAGCAATATTTAAATGGCCTATGGATTAATCTACGCACCATGGTCTTTGTATTTTCTGCTATTTGGCTTGGGTTACGCAACACTGTGAACAAAAACGTTGCCACTGAAAGTTGTGTGCTTCCCTTCTATAGGCATGCGCAATGGCCGAAACTTGACGCAATCATTACAGCATAAAGTAGAACCATTGGAAAAGGAACAAACTGGTTGGGGAATAATGCCGCAGTGCTCTAGGTATTGCAATAAAGACATATTTTGTGGCCAACCGAGCCTTTCAATGAACTCACGGTTATTGATATCAGCAGAACCGACAACAGCGTCTGTTTGCCCTCTTGACACCTGTCCACATATCTTCTTTCCTGATAGTCGGTGGATAAAAACATCAATATTTGCGGACGGTGCAACCGCATACCCTTCCTGTGGGCGCCAGCGCACACTCATAGGGCTTACCCTGGTTCACAGGTGCAATATATTGTTGGATGTTATTATCATAAAGAACTGGATTCGGTAATGCAAAACATCCATACAGGCACGAAGTAAATGAACGGCCAAATCACTGACATAGACGTGGTAAATATCATGCTGTCGTCAGCACTGGTTGGCTATCCGTTGGTACTCTTTCCTTCAGTAATGCTTACTGAAAGAACGATGTTCTTGTACTTCATGTGACGCAAACAACGCCAGATTTTGCAACATTCTGAAAATGCCAAAATAGTGCTGGACCCGGCGCTTACTACCGCGAGTGGCGCTGAAGACCTCCGATTGTGAGACAGCTCCTACGTCGCTTGGCTGCGGACAGCGCGGACTGCCGTGCTCGATCAACGCCCCTGACAGGGAGCTGGGTGGCCGCCGGCCGCGGTCGGCGTCCGTCGTGACCGGTCGGTGCTTACAGAGATCGGAGGCGGTTGAGGCCGACGAAGTCATCGCCGCGCAGTGCCGACAGGCGGTTGTTCCTGAGGTCCCTGCCAACAGACCGGTCACAGCGTCACGTCAGCGTACCTGGAATCCGGCTCGAACACTTCCCCGAAAAACCCATGACAGAAGAGGCGCGTCACGGCAGCGGCGACCCGCCCACAGGCTAATACTTCCAATGTACACACGCTGCAGCCAAGGTCGTGTCCGTGTCGCGGTGCACAACAGCAGTAACCACAGAAAGCAGCAGTCAGCACGGTAAACAATCAGCGATGATCGCCACCGTATGTGGAGACGTATGGTGGTATCATCTCCACGTATGGTGGCGATATCGCGTCCGAACAGCGTAGCTTTGGGCGCCACCCCATCTGTCGGCTCGGATTCCGCGCCTCGCGTGTCTCGCCGCCTCGGCACAGCAGGCCAGCGTGCGTCGCTAACGCACGCGCAAGCGGCGAAGCGTGGCATCCTGCGCTGCGCGATCGAAAACGCTCGGCGATGAAGCAACGGCCTCAGCCGACTGCCTACAAATCTCGCACGCCCCAGCGGCGAGCGCGCCAGGCGAGACTGACTCCGCTCCATTCCGCTCGATTCGTGCGGCGTTTTGTTCCGCGAGCACTCAAACTTTATTGGCACGCTCCAGCCGCCGCGGCAATTTAGTTACGGCGTCCGAACGCTCGTACGGCCGCCGGGGCGCCGAAAGGTGGGAGATTTCGGCGATAATGTACCCACAGACAAATGGGGAGCCGGCTTGACAAGGCGTCACTCTAATGGACAGCTCGCAGCCGGACAAACTCAATTAGGCGCGCCCCTCGGCCTGCGAGTGCAGGGGCAGCGCGGGTGCCGTGACTGGCGTCGGCGATCGTCGCCGAGCCGTCCACAGGTGGAGCGGCCGGGACCGGTCGCCTCCTGCCGGAGCCGCTTATCGTGCCCCGGTAAAAGTGTTTCCGTGTAATCCGGGCGCCGGGCGGGGGGCGGCAGGGGCCGAGGAAGCCCCGGACGCGGCCGAGCCGACCCTGGCGGCCCCGCGCGGACCCTGAAGCCCCGGGCTGTGTGCTGTCGGGGCGGCCCGGGCGGCCGGGCGGCCGACCGCGCCCGCGCTGTTCTGGTGGCGGGCGACCCGTCTGGCTCCCAGACCGAGCTCAGTTTCGGCGCTGTGCCACTCCTGATCGAGTTGGGACGTTATTCGGACTGCCTGCTTCCTGTCACGCTCCACGGTGCGCGCTGGACGCGCGTTAGGTGGCCGCCCAAACAGAAGTCGCTGCATCGCGATGGCATTCACCGGCCCGTGCGCGTGACGCAGTGTGCACGAACCTGACAAAGCCCACCGTAGCAATGGCTCTCGGCCGGCCGTACGCTAGCAATGGCTCTCGCGTGCTGCGCGTTGCCGGGTAACGACGGTTCGGGGAATGACGATTGCCCTACAGCAACGCGCAACGTCCGCTTCCACTAGATCATCAACAGCGCGCGGACGTTGGTGCGCTGTGCAGCGCCGAGTCATGCACCCTTCGATGCTGCTGGGCGTGCAGGCGACCCCATATCAGATGGTGCCGATGTGAGTAACTCCGTGTACCCCTAATGGCGGTGCGACGTGCAGTGTCTTGTGACGTGTACGGCGAACACGAGCCGCGTGGAGTCCTGACGGCGGCTTCACAGAGCCCAGTCGCAGCGACGCGTCCAGGGTTCCAACACTGGAGGTCATCGCTCTTCAGCTTTGACCATGGTGCGGCCGTGTTGTGTCGTGCGCCTACGTCGAGACGTGACCAGCCGGTCCTTCGTGCGCTACTGTCCGTGTAATGGCGCTGTCGCCTGAGTCATGTCTGAGCGTCGCTGTCGGCCGACGACGTTCCTTCAGCGGTGAGCTCTGCCAGGCGACAACATCATCAGCGGGCCTCCCTGATCTAAGCTCACCCGTACTCTCGCGCCGCGTAAAAGAGTCAATCGCATCAACCGCACCATCAGAAAAAGAGCCGACAGCATCGGCCGGCGATAGCATCGGCGCTGTCCGGCGGGTCCTCCGCGGAGCGGGCAGCGTGCCGGCTGCTGTCCGACGGGTCCTCCGCGGAGCGGGCAGCGTGCCGGCGCTGTCCGACGGGTCCTCCGCGGGCGGGCACTGCCGCCCGGACGGGGCATCCCTCTCGGAGGACTGCGAGCCGCCAGATGCCTCCGGCGACGACGGCTGGGCCGAGCATACCTGGCACCTGCTCAGGGCCACCCTGCTCACCGCCGGCGCAGCACACCGCCACACAGCTGATACCACCTGGGAAAACCGCCGGCCGCCTGGGAAAGCGCGCCCTTTAGTTTTTTTTTTTCGCCTCAACCGATATCGGCGTCATGAGATTGGGCATACAGCGGACGCTTCTGTGACGCAGGCCCAACAGCATGTGTACAAATAGTGCACAGACTGCGCGTTTGCGCAGCAGTGTTTGCTCTGCGCTACGTCGCGCCTCCCACCAGGATTAGGGTCGGGAGTCCCGTCAGATTACGTGAGCATTATCATAATCGCGTGGCACCTCGCGCTGAGTGAAGCGACGTTTCCCAGCCCCTGAACATGTGAAGCTGCACAAAATGGGCCTGTGTTGAAAGCGCTCGAGGCAAAAGCACCCAGATGACAGTGCTAAAGCGGCGCACTTGGAGGACTGGGGTCGCGCTACGTTGGCAAAAGCGCCACCCAGTTGACCATCCGTGACATACGTATTTCCCTACTTTGAATTTTGTCTTCATTACGCAGACACGTTCCGGGGGGGAGGGGGAGGGGGGATTGGAGACTGCGCAGAGAGGCAATGCTGCGTCTCATGCCCCGGCGGTGCCTCGGAGATCCGGGAGAGCGGCACCGGCCGGTCCCGGACCGCGGGACCCGGAGCCGCAGGAGCTGTTGCCGGGAGGTCCGGCTCAGGCTGGAGCTGCGCCCGCGCCATGCGGCTCTGCTTGGCGCCGTTTTTGCGGCGCGCTTTTTACGGCGACACGCCGATCAGGCCGCCGCACGAGAAGCCGACGGCTGGCGACGCCGCCGCGGCTCCCGACCCGCGGAGCCGGCGGGAGCCGGCGGGACGAGCCCGGAGCCGCGGCGGTCCGAGCAGCCCGATCGGCCCGCGGCCGGGAGCAGACCCTGCGTGCGGCCGCCGCACGAGCGTTGCGCAAGCGGCCGAGCTGCGTGCGGCGGCCGTGCAGTACCAGGCGGCGTGCCGGCGGCGCGGTCTGGGGCGTGACCGATCGGCCGCTAAGGCCGACTCGCCAGCGGACCAGCGGCGTCGCTGACCGCACAACTGAGCCGATGGGACGGCCGCTGGCGGCGCGGCCGTCAGCGGCGGCGGCCGCTCGCGGCCCGGTCCGGACGGCGGCGGGCGGAGCCGGCCGGCCTCGGAAGGTATGCTGATGACGCCGCGCCGCCGACAGACGCGTGTCGGGGCGGGGCCCGCGTGTCCCTGCCGCCGGCCGTCTGCCAGCGGCAGGCGGGTCAGGGTGACAGGCGCCCAGGGGTCACCTGCGGTGTCACACGGCCAACTCGGTGGTGGCTCTCTGAAGGCAGGGTCGTAACGACGGTGTGCGTTGAAAGCCTTTCGCGGTGTCGGCGCGCGCCGGCCTTGCTGGTGTGATTTCAGAGACAGCGGCGCAACCCGGTGCCCATGTCCTTTGTTCCTTTCGCCCTGTTTTTTTGTGTGGCGCACCTGGACAACCCAGCCATCTAAGCAGCCTGTTTTTAACTCTTCCTAGCTTTATCTTATAAACATACATACATACACACACACACACACACACACACACACACACACACACACACACACACACACACACACACACACACACACACACACACACACACACACACACACACACACACACACACACGGATATATGTATATATATATATATATATATATATATATATATATATATATACAAAGGAACGGCCGTTCGGTGGCCACCATGGTACTTTCACTTTCCGAGAATGAGTACCAACCCCATGGGGACACATGGCTAGAATGGACTGCAACATTGGTCTGTTATCCTCACTTTCTGAGACGTTGTTTTGTCTATGTACATCGTAAAATACCAATGTACAGGTCTTGATTCATGTCCGACAGCACCTTCCAGCGTCGGTTCACAGATGCGTGACAAAACTACATAAGCATTGCCGCGTTCTGAAAGCATGACGAATCCTTAATATGGCGGAGAACTCCAAACATTTTGATACGCTTGCAAGATCGCGACGCATGCAACTTTGATGTCTCTGTTAGGATGTGACGTGCAGTTTCTACTACCTTAGAATGTATGTTTTTAGTTTGTGGAGTTCGTCTAGCACAGGCTAGTGCAATAGCAAGCGCACCAGCGGACTTTTACAGGATTGGAGACAGGATAAGATTTTTCAACACTCATTTTGATTTTCGACGGACATAACTTTTCTATGAACCCGACTTGATGCGATCTCACTAGGACCACAGCACGGAACTCACGACGAAGTGAAACCTTGCCCACATGGTGGTGGTGCTGACAACAAAAATCAAAGGCACTAACTGGAACCAACAGCCATAAATAAGCGAGCCTTAGTTTACTTAGCCGCGATCCAGGGGCCGATAACTGAGTTGGGCAAGCCTGCCATCTTGTGTAGCACCGCGACATGCACTGTAAGTCAGCCCACTCGAGTGCACAAGAAAGCAGTTTGTTCACGCCCCATGCGCGCCAGAGCGCTACCGCCAGCTGCGACGCCGAGCCGTGACCCGAGTTTTGACTCGGAGGTGTGACCCGGAGGCGTGACCCGGGGGTCACAACCCGGGCTGACCTCTCGCGCCAGGTCCAGCAGTTCCACCGCAGTTCCAAGCAGTTCCAGCAGTTCCAGACGGTCAACAGTGGGAGCCGCCGCGTGGTGCGGTGACGCGTACCAGTCATCGGCACAGAATATCCCCACCCGGGTTGGCGGCACCTGCCGCCCACTCGGCGGTGGAGGGAGGCGGCCGACGCAGCAGCTGGCTCCGAGCACCGCGCGCCGCCCCACGCCGTTCCCAGAGCTCGGTCGCGTGTCACCGACGGCCCGGCCCAGACGGCGTTGTAGCTG